CTTAAAATTGTTTTTGTAAACTTCCAAAGTGAGTTGTTGGTTGTGCTTAGGGATTTAATTAAAGAGTTGTAGAATGTCTGTGTTCTTTAATTGATTTTTTGGTTATAGTGTTTAGGATGTTAAGATCTTTTTTATTTGGGGATTCCTATTGTTGTTTCAAAGTCTTCTTGTTCTGTTTCTGGTTTTTATTATGGTATTGGTATTGTGGTGAGTTTTCGTTGGCATTTCCAATGAAATAATTACATATGTCGTCATTGCCAACAATATTATTTATTTTATTATGGTTATTATAGGATTTGACAATTTAGTAAGTGTTTTTATTTTATTATGTGCAACGTTATTTTGTTGCAGAACGATTGCACTGGTTATTGTTTTGTTTAATAATGCTATTTAATTTTCTTTTTCAAAAGACGTTTTTAGATCACTGAATTTGGAGGTTCTGATTATTATGTTTTTCCTAAATTCTTTCCAGTTTATGTTTTTAGTATTTAATGTGGGTATAAGTAGGTGTGGGGGCGGTTGTTGAAGAGTACACCTTGTTACACGGAGGTGATCAGGCTCAAGTTCGTGAATCACAGTGGAGTAAAATGTAGTCTGGTCGTTGGTGATTGCAATGTTTAAAATGTATGGGTGTTTATTTAAGTCATATGAATAGTAGGTTGGTTACGTGGTAGGTGGTGAGTGGTATGAATAGTAGGAGTTATTATGTGTAATTTTGAATTCGTTATTATTTTTTGTAAATTTTTGCCTGCTCAGTTTGTTGATCTGCATCCCTAGTTGGTGTTTTTGGAGTTGAAATCTCCTAAGAGTAAGGTAGGGGTGATTTGATTAATTAACGCTGCGATGTTAGTGTCTTGAATTTTTTGTATTTGGTGACGTGTAAGCTGTTATAATGATAAATACTCTGTTTTTAAGAGGTAATTTTCAAGCGACTGTTTCTAATCCCGGAATGTTTGGTAGGTTTGTTTTGGTGTAGGGCACTGATTTTTCAACAAGGATAAGGACACCTCCCCCATTAGCATTTATTCGGTCTGTTCTAATTCTACGAGTATTATAACCGGGAATATTGAATGACTTGTAGGATTTGAGGTGTGTTTCCGTAATGCACGAAATTTTGATTTCTTTGTCTTTGAGGAAGTAGATAAATTCGTTTAGTTTTGTTGGTTATACCATTGGCGTTCCAGTTTAGCAGGCTAATTTTGTTATGGAGCTGTGTGGCCATGCTTCCTATTTAAATAGGTCGTCAGTTAATTTTGTAAATTATTGACGATTGATGGGATATTATTAACGATGGGATAACAGTATTGATTAGATTGATTATGTATGTTGAAATAGAGTTGATTATTGTGTGCATTAATAAATTATTATTATTATTATTATTATTATTATTATTATTAATGTTGTTGCTATTACCATTGTTTTGGTTTGTGGTTTTTGATTCCTGTTGTGGTTTCTATTTGATTGATTTGTTATGTGGGTGAAATTTGGAATGTTGCTAGTGGTTGCTAGATTAGGATAGTTTTGGGAGTTTAGATTTAACTAATTATCATTTATGGGTTTCGTACTTGAACGTTCTTTCTGATAATTTTTGGGGGGCATCTCTACAACCTTTTTGTAATATGAACATTCAACAGATCTTGTGTCTGCGCGCTGCGAACCGTTACAGTTCTTACAAATAGTAGGGTTTTCTTTTTGGGAGCAATTTACAGAGTAATGATCTTTTGCGCGATCAATAAATGTATGCTATATTATGATGGCAGTTGTTTCTAGTTTCCCCGAAATCTAGACATTAAAGGTATTGGATAGGACCCATGGCTTTGCACCTTTTATCAAGGTGTATCATTTTATAAAGATATTGACAATCATGTTACAAATTCGATTAATTTGTTGTATACTGTCTCGGTTTTGGCTACCGTCGAACTCGACTGCCACTACTGGAATGGGGATGTTGTCTTTATATAGCCTGGTTACACTAATGAGCGATGGGCACTTTCCCTTGAGACCTTATGACATCTCTTCCCTTGAGATGTATTTCTTCCCGAGTAATTGATGGATGAAGATTATTAAAAACGATGGAAAAGTTTTTGTCAGCTGGGTCTTTATACGTATGAAATTTCCTGTTTGTGCTGATTAGATACTTTATTGCCAGCCTAAAGTCTTAAATAGTTTTAAAAAGTACTTTGGTTTTATCATTGACAATGGTTGAATAAACTGGTTTATTATTTTAATCTTTAAATCCTTTATTAAATTCTGCAACATTCTGAATATGGGCTACAAGGATTATTTTATTTTCGTGTGGTTGGTGGTATTTTAACATTAATATGTGTGGTCAATATTTTGTTCATTTATGGATAGAAACGTATTGTCTTCGCGCTCATCACTTTGTTCGCCGAGCTCAGAGAATCTGTTCCCTGTAGGTACGTTATACTGGAACTCAGTAAGATTTTTTGATTGTACACTCGTATTGCTACTGAACCGATTCATTTTTTTCTCTCGGTATCACTTTCACTTTCACTTTCACTTTCACTGACTGACTTTTTCTGCGCCTGAGAAGGTAGTGATGGTGGGGATGGTAACGATACATAGATCTGGCTGAGGCTGGCAGGGTTGATGCTGCCCTCAGTGCAGGTTGGAACTGGCGTCGCTTCGAGGCTTATATCCATGATCTGGCCACTTGCTGGCATCGGCGACACTGGTGAAACGTCACCGTTGTCACCGTTATGGACGATGCGCAGAGCTTCGGATATTGTCTGCTGCTGATATTTTCTTAACTAGTTGTGATCAGGTACTATAGAGCTGTTTGAACACGAACACAGGCACTAACACTATGCACAGAGTTCACTAATGCTCTTGAGTGGTGATCCCATGAGTAGATAATAGCGATAATGATGGTGGAGAACTGATGGAATGAGGGACATGGTAAACGGGAATAACCGGAGCAAACCTCCCGAAAACTCTCTTTGTCCCCCACAAATTCCTCATGGATTGGCTAGGGATCGAATCCGGACCCAGCGGAAGATCGCCTATTATTCGACGAACTTCCATCGTATAAAACATATTATTATGCTTTCTGAGTTACCTGCCTTCATACATGCTTGGTACTAAAATAGCTGATATCATTCGCATAGAAAATTAAAGGATCTCCTTAAAAGTGAAATGTTTCATATGTATTCTATATTCTATTACATTTTATGTAAATCAAAAACTAATATTTATAGACGACTAATCAATCTGATACCCATATTTGAAGGTTTTTGACGTTGGAAAAATATACAAAATATTGAAATGTGTTGTATATTTATAGGTACACTCTCACAATAGTACTCGTATCAATTCTTCCTAACTGTAAAAAATATAATCTTTTGAACTTTCGGAAGTTGTAAGGTTTGTGCTTTGCATCTAACACTCTTCAAGAAGTAACAAACCCGAAGAAAGACACTGAAGGATGGACATAACTCCAGTGAAGTGCAAGGCCATTTTGATATGGTAAGAAACTTCATACTTCGCTCACAATCTTAAGCTGACCTAAGCTCATAAAAATATAACTACCGATTAACTATGCGTCTTTTCCTCGCCCTCTAGATTCCTCCATTTCGTAGACTGTACTCTCAGGAAAGGATATAGCTATCTTTACGACTCACATTCCGGCGAATCTACCCCATATTCTTCCTTTTGTTGCAAATCTATAACACTGAGTCTAGCATGTCATACAAAGAAAATTTTACGACTTTCGGTCGTTTAACAGACAAGAAGTGAATGAGGTTCCCAGTTTGTATTCATACCGTCCTCTTCAATCTAGGATCTTTAATGAGGAAATGGCAATATAACCCCCTGTAATCGCACAATGCATTAAGCAACGTGTAAAATATTGATATTCGCGAAATCAACACATTATGGACTGAAATGAGGATTGCAGAAAGCAAATTTATTCCTGATTTAATCACAAATTTTCTTGGGGTGTGTAAAATTCATTACCAAGAAAAATAGTATGTTAATGGTATTTTAGTATTTGAGACATCCGTTCAAACGCTCTCCCATCACACGTGAAAGAAAACACTAATAAGCTTCGTTCTGTATATGTTTAACTACAATGAATATTGATTTTACCATTTCGTGCGCACTGCTGCATCTCTAAATCTCGACGCCAATCCAGATGAAAACACTTCCACCGTATTACTTCATTGAATGCTATCTAGTATTGGTTTCACGCTTGCCAATGCTGGAAGATGGGCATTATACTCTCCTTCTTGCATAATGCGGCCAACTTCTCCATTGGATTCAGGTGCACGAGCTTCGTCCGGATGGCGCGGCCACGGCGCGGGTGACGACTCGGGCGACGAAGCAAGCGAGGGAGCGAACAATTGCGCGAGCGATGACACAGAAGATGGCTAGGACGATGACGTGGGCGATAGCGAGGGGCCATGGGGCGGGTGATGGCGCGGGCGATGGCCTGGGAGATGGCGGAGGGTGGGGGATGGCGCGGTCGATGGCGTGGGCGACGGTGTGGGCGATGGCGCAGGCGTTGGAGAAGCGATGGCGTAGGGGCGATGAGGACGGGCAGTGGCGCGACGACGCGAGTGATGGCGCGAGCGTTGGTGTGAGCGGGCGCGGGGGCGGGCGCGGGCGCGGGGGAGGGAGCGGGAGCGCGGCCTCAGTGGCGGCCGCGGATGCGGGTACGCCGCATTGCATATTCATAGTTTTCGCTTATTCAAAACCGGGAGCAGCTGTCGCGGGAAGAATGGGGCGAAAGCTCTTACCGCGTTCGCGGCGCAGGTCCGTTATTTACCCAACACTGCTCGTAGGTGTGGTATCGCGCGGTCTCGGCCGGCGATTGGTGCAGGGTAATCAGCACCCTCAGCACTCCAAGGGTTCGAGGGGAGAACGTGAAAAAAAATTGCTCACCTCTTAGTGTATTTGTTAAGGCTAAATACCTAGATGCGGGTAATTTTAGTAGTTGCTATAAGCCGCACGATGTGGACAATGTTGATAAAAGACGATGGATGGATTATTCCGGATATCATCTGGCTAATGTTAGCTTTAGCCACAGAGCGCTGGCTGAAATAAGCCTATCGTCCGAGTGTGAGGCGTCGTGGAGAAGTATTTTTGACCATTAATAAATAGGAAATAATGCGTGGCACTGACTCAAGGTTGATTTTAAATCGTCAACCTAGCTGTACGAAAGTGAGATTACCATCTCACGTAACCTCACAATACACTTAGGTTGATTTGCACATAAGCCACTCGGTGAGAACAAAGTTAAGAAAATGTGATGAAAGGATTGTTTTTGATATAATCACCTGGCTAATGTTGGCTTTTGATATCCAAAATCTGCGATGAATGGTACGACTGTGGAACTCGAAACTACACACATTGCCGCTCACTAGCCTTACAAACTCCTCAGCAGCAATTCCCTGTTATTCTTGCAGGGGATTCCCTTCTATTTTATCACCGTAACTTGAACATACAAGCCACCTAATTAACTAGCCACATCGCATTTGGTAATGTAAAAAATTAATTGTGAACATGAAGGTTAAACAAGAATCGAAATAACTTTGTATTGAGCACACGAATGGATTAGGACACTTTAATATATTTGGTTGCCACTTTTATTAGTAACACAGTTTCCCAGTAACAATTATTTGGAAATTGTAACATTAATGATACAAGGAATCGATAATTATTGTTTATAAAATCTTCGTTATTAATTAATGACAATTTTTATGTAGTTTATATCACCACATGAGTGTTTACGACATTATATTTTGTAACCCTTGCGCCTAAATTGATATATTTTTCCTGTGAGTTTGATGGTGAAAGCAATGGAACGCATAAGAGTGCTGCAATAGAATTTTACAATTTTACTTCACCCTAGCTCATGTATATTGACAACAGTAACCCAATCGCCAATCTGTGAATGTGCAACAGCAATGAAGCTGGTATAATTCCTAAAAGTTTGTCACCTTCTTACTGATCGTAAACAATATAATGATAGATTCTGTCAAGAGTTACCACTCCTAACACCTCATGTTGTTGCATATTGTTTATTACGTGTTACAGTACTGGCGTTTCTCCAAAAACAATCATTCCAGTCAAAAACATCATTTCTCTGTATTTCAGAATATTTTTATCATTGTTGATAATTTAAATCTGAATTGTTCATGTAATTGCTATCGAGAGAACTAACTAATCTACGTAAATAGAACTTAAGTAGTAGGAATAAAACATTAGATACTTTGTTGTCTACGCCGTAGCCGGAAATTGAAACGAAGATATTGAATCGAAGAAACAAGAAACACTAGAAATATCACGGACGCTCGACATTCATCAATATATTCCATTTGGAGTGACTTGTGGCAGCAGCTCACACATGCAAAAACCTCATACTGAAAACATGTACGCCTAACGCGGGAGTCAACCCGCGTACGCGGACGAAGCTCCAATCTCCATCGCTTTCTAAGCAGGCCGTGGGCAGCGGAATGGAAAAGAGGAGGGCAAGGAAAGAAGGAAGCAAGGTGCGCCAACGGAGCGGGCGGTGCGGGGGAGAAAAATGGTCGGCGGGGTCGCGAA